GGTCCTGCCCATCGACTGTGATGGAGAAAAGATGTGTCAATAAGGCATATTAGCAGGCACTGACTTGCATAACTAAATAGGCTTTTTAGCATCAGTGGCTAGTTAAATGAAAAAGTGATAATGAATACAGCATGTACAGCGCTAACTGAACAATGTTGGAGGTCCTGTGCTTATTCCTGGCTTCTGCACCCCAGACTGTGAAGCTGGCATGCAAGGAATGACTTTGGCATGCTGTGCAGTGGGAGCCTCTCCTGTCACTGTCACTGTTTACGCGCTGTTAGCATTGCTGTATATAGGTGTACGCAGTTAAACTGGATGGAACACACTGGATCTAATGCCTGTCAGATACTACCCACAGGGGATTTTCTCTGCACCTCTGCGATAGCTACTTTTCCAGATACCCAGAAGAGTAGCTGGCAACTGCCAGAAAGGGTAGGTCAGCGCTCTCTAGTTGGCATTTTTTTATATTACAGTTTCGTCTGCAAAATACATTGTTGGGATTTGCCAAATACTGAGTGTCAGGAGTGTTTTATTAAGTGTCTGGATCTGCAAGTGTGCCTCAAGGCCTACTGAGAGGTTGTTGAAGAAAGGGGGCGTTGACCTCTTTGCAACCTTAAGAAATCGAAGCCTTTAATTTTAATCAGAGTACATGGGATTTTTATTTCATTTAAATAGATTGTTACTTTTATGGCTTGGTCTTTGAGAAAAATCAATGCTGAAGACCTTAAGGCTTCATTACATTAAGAAACTAATGGGCATGCACATGCCAACCTTGTGCAATCAGTGGCCCTAAGGTGTGTTCTGGAGCAGGTGCTAAGCACAGTTCACACTTCCTTGAATCCCACTCCTACATCAGCCCACATCTGAGAGGTTTAGTTTATGTACTGAATGATCATCAGCTTTCTGCCTCTTTCTCACTTTCTTTACTGACATATGGAGCAAGTAGAGAAAGGTTGCGTGTCTGCTAATGCAGGGCATCTTTTGTAGAGGTCCTTCAGTGCAGGGACCTCGCTATCTTCTGAGTAATGTGCAATGCCAACCACAGTGTCATTATTCAAGGTAATGTCAGAAGCCTAGAAGAACAGTCATATTATGTTGAGGGAAGTTTTGGTGGTGTAGATATATCTGCTAAAACAGTCTGAGGAAATACCATCCTGCTAGAAAGAGCTGTTCTCTGTACTTCTACAATTCAAATTACCTGAAGAAGGATTGTTGTGGTATCTTTTTGAACACGTCTTGAGATCTATAGAATGCCTCAGATAGATGGTCTACCTGACTTCAGTTGTGTCCTTGTTATTACCACGGTCCAGTACTTTTTATTCTTCATGAGGCAAAAAGGGAGAACAATCCTTTCCTACAGGTGCAGCACACAGCAGAATGAACGTTCAGAACATAGTGTGGTTTTCTTTTGTACTAGTTTATGTCCCGCACTTAACTAACAAGTCATTTCAGTATTTTAGTATTCTGTTTTGAGTTTATGGTGGTAGGAATGGAGGAAAATATGCTATACTTTTGTGTATGCATATCTAACTTTCTTCCATTTGCTTGTATATTTTAGGATTCAAACAAATCTTGGAAATTCGTCTATATAAAGAGTTGTTTAAACTTTTAAGGAGAAAATAGAGAAAAGATTTTAAATGAATCTTATTGCAATTTTTAGAATTCTTATGAGGATGCAATGGATCATAGGAAATTTTCTTTCTGTTGGGTTAAAATAAGTAGTGTGCATGCCGTTAGGGATCATGAATACCGTATTATTCACAATAATGGTACAGTGTGATTCTCAATCAATTTAAATGGGCTCTTTTAATACAGTCTTAAATTCACCTGTAAGGGCTTCTATAGAAATGTTTCTGTCTTTATAATGTAATATTGGTAATTCCTAACACTGAATTATAATTTCCATTCTCAGATGAGGAAGACATTTTGCTCGTTCTTAGTGTGCCTTCATTTTGGCCACTTCATCCTTTAGATGCTTATGAAAGGTTATAGTCCAGGGTGGTACTGATGTATAAGTGAGCACGTCTCATATTTCTTCAGCAGTGTGGAAGCACTGTAGAAATGGAATTCACTGCTCCTATTTTACTCACACTTATGGGAAGGTATCGCCTGTTACGAGAGACGAGACTGGCTGTGTCAGCACTTTGAGTAGCATCTGAGTAAAAGAATATAATAACTGTATGACAAGCTGAAGCAGATGTCATCTGCTTTTTTGGAGAGTAGGTAGAAGGTCATTGTTGTGATGATTCCACAGCGTGACTACAAGCAGTGGGGTCCTGGAGAAGGCAGGACCTTTTCTGTATGCTTTTTTTGTTTCCTCTTGAGCTTTCTAAACCACTTGTCTTGATTAAGTCTGTATCAATAACACACAGAGTGTTATCCACGCTTGTTAACATGCATGTGAGGATGGGATTTTTGGAGAGTAGGTAGAAGGTCATTGTTGTGATGATTCCACAGCGTGACTACAAGCAGTGGGGTCCTGGAGAAGGCAGGACCTTTTCTGTATGCTTTTTTTGTTTCCTCTTGAGCTTTCTAAACCACTTGTCTTGATTAAGTCTGTATCAATCAACACACAGAGTGTTATCCACACTTGTTAACATGCATGTAAGGATGGGACTCCCAAAGACCTTAAAACATAGGGGAAGCAAGACTGTTAATGGATAGGCAGTTGCCTGCCCAGTGCAAAGCTGGTTTGAATGGGGCAATGCCCCTTGAGAGATTCAGCTGGCCAAAAGCAAGAACATGCAGCACTTTTTTTTTAGGAATTTCAGAACTATTATGCTTTCCTGGGGGGATACCAGTCTTCATACTGAATGGCCATACTGGGTGACATGTAATGTCCTTATTCTGAAACTTGCCAGTCAAGTAGTGGAAGTTACTTAGGCAAAGAGTATCAGAAGCTCAGTACGAGCAAATCTTGCCACCGTCCCCAAAGTATTCACCTATTTCTGACAATCAGCGTAGAGACTTTCCATCGGTAATTTAAGGGCATTGCTCCACCTGTGCAGTCCTTGTGCATAGTTCTGGGTTCTGTCATGGTTCTGTCAACAGAATGGCTGCCACTTGCTTTGCTCAATGCTGTTGTCTAGTAAGTTATTTTCCATATGTAGATACTGTCTAGCTAGTTAGGTACCTAAATTTAGTATCACAGGAGGTGAAGTTGGTGCTTGTCAGGCTGTGTTAAGTAGGCAGGATAAATTCCAACACTAACATGAAAGGGTTTTTTTCCCCCAGTTATCTCTCCCACTGCCCTAGGTCAGCAACATTCAGCAAATCAACAGTTTCTGAAATAGGGTTTCAAGGTATGACACCTGCTGCGGCAATGCCTTGGTGTGTGTAGAACAGGCGGTTGCCCCAGGTAGTTGTTGTATGTACTGCATTAAATGAATGCACAACGAAAAAACTTCAGTTTCTTCTGCTGGGATGTGAGATATCATGAGAGCATGCTCCACGAAGTCCTTGAATTCCTCTCATTTCTCTGTGAGAAGGTTTTACTTTCTTCTGTGAATACTTCTGATATTCAGAAGCTGGTGTCTGAAATAGATGTGTGAAGATTGAGGTTGCATGGAGCCATATGACTGCAATGCACATGTAGCCATGGGATCGGCATGTGCAGTACTGGTTAGGGACAAATATTTCCAGGTATCTGCTCCACTGCATTGTTCACCGTTTGCATCTGGCTTTTGATGGCCCCAGCTGGTACGACAGCTATTGCATTGGTCCTAGCTGGCAGCTGAATGGGCCAGGCACGGCAACAAATGCTGTTCCCAGTTTGTGGTTGGGAGCTTGTACGCGTTTGTGGTTTGGGGTCTAATAACTTGTGCGAAGTATTAGCTTCACGGTTATGACATTTGTGGTGCTTGAGCAAAGATAAACTGCATGGGTGTATTTGATGTGAGGGCTCTGGCAGCAGTTACTTGACAGACTGTCGACTGTAACGCCCTGCCTCCCCCACCAAAGTAACAATCTCTTGCAAACAGATGGTTCTGAACTGAGGTCGTTGAGTGGGAAATTCCGGTGCATCTTCACTTGAATATTGACTCTACTTCGGTATCGGATCACTTTTATTGACAGCTCATATCCATGTTGTGGTTGTTTAAACTCTAAATGATCCTTAGAATCAATCTGTGTTCACCCTTTTGTGTAGAGGTAATTTTACTGATGTTCTGATTTTTATGGCTGTGGACTATCCCAAGAGGCTTACAGTAAGATTTCCTTTCTTGTCAAATCCATTTTTGCTCTAGTGTTTGGGAGCTTTCTATCTCTGTGATCTATCACTGTGATACACAATGAGCACCTAAAGAAGCCAGATGGGACTCTTGGCCTTGGGAACCTTGAGCTGATGAAGCTCTTTGAGCTGTTTCAGACAATGAATGAGCTACCAGTCATAAGATTCTCTCCTGTGTTATTTGATATCCACAAAACTCTGGGGTGGCTTACTTCTGTTACTCGGGAAGTCTGTCAAGTGGCAAAATTATCTAGAAATATTCTTAAAGTGAGGGAACAGGTGGCTTAGATTACTATCAAACGCAACCAAAGGAGTCCCGGTGTAAAGGGTAGGTGCATTTTCTCTTACATCATTGTGATTTTTCTTGACTACGAGCATAATTACGTGATTGAAATGCAACACAGATGTACCAGGATGCTGCAAAAGTATCTTAGATCAGTGATGTGTTGAGATGCTAACTTTTCAGGGTTAAGTACTGTACCCTTAACACACCCAAGCAATCAGTCATGTGCAAAACAGAACTGTTCTGAAATGTAAGATATGGCATTTAACACAGTCCTGTTGCAGCTTTCTTAATGTATTGGAGCACGTTGCCAGGTGAGGTAGCCTGCTGAGAATCTGGCCTATTATTTTAATGGGAATGAAACTGCAGAGGGTAACCTTCTCACTGTACACTAAAGAAAAGGTGTTTATTGGCATTAGCTTTAGTATTGCGGTACTTTTATAGAGTTCAAAAAGCTCCTGATAAGATCTATGTATATTCTGTTACCAGCTCTTCCATGTTGCCTATATCCTTATCAAGTTTGCAAATTCTCCTCGTCCAGATCTCTGGGTCTTAGAAAGATCAGTGGACTTTGGAAGAACTTACACTCCCTGGCAATATTTTGCTCGTGAGTATCAATTCTTGTGTCATTGCTCTTTTGTGGACAGGTTTCTGTAATCATTCGCCCAGTAGCAGAAAATCAGACCAGGGGTCTCACTGAAGATTTCAACTGCAGTGAAGACAGTGAACATCAAATACATTTCTCTTGTCTTAGTTATCCACAATAAATTAGTGACAAGAGTGTAACTACAAATAAGTTTGATATTTTGAAAGTGTAACTCAGCACATGAATATTTTTCAGTCTGCTGGGAATTGTTGTTTTGTTTTGTTTGTCGTGGTTTTTGGGTATGTCAGAACTACAGTGTCCTTCATCCCATGGGACCCTGGAGTTCCTTGCAAAAATAAAAGCGAAATACAAACGCAAAATCCTGGAGTACATATATAGCTTTTTTTGTGAGGATGTGAGAAATATTATGCCATATCTTGTCAGGCACCACTGAATTGCTTAGGAATTTCCATTTTTCTGTGCTGAGCGACACAATCACTGTTACTATTCAATTACGGGGGAGAATTTACCTGAAAGCACAGGGGATACTTCTTCGTTAATTTAAATTAGAACAATAGTGTTTATTTTCCCATATAAAAATAATTTTGTTCTCACTTGACTAGACTCCAAAGCAGATTGCTTGGAGCGCTTCGGAAAGGAAGCCAACCTTCCGGTGAGGAGGGACAGCGATGTCCTTTGCACCACAGAGTACTCTCGCATTCTGCCTCTTGAAAACGGAGAGGTAAGTGCTTTTAGGAAAGTAATGTGTAACACTGGAAGCAAACAGCATTGGTTTCAGAAGTTCGCTGTTTCAATAAAAACCTAGAACTGGAAGTAATTTTTCAGCTATGACTGCTTGAATCTACATTAATAAGTTCATAACCAAGCAGGGGATACATATTTATAATATAATACATGTGTTTGCAAAATGTTGCTCTGATTTGAGCTGTTGTTCCTTGCTAGGCTGTGGCCTGTGTTATTTGAATGAATGTTAAACTCTGGGCTGCGCTGATGGCTCCTGCTGACATTCTCCTTTTATGCCTGACGTGGTTGTAATCCAGATCTGAACTCCTTAAGGGTTATCCAGAGTTTTGATCTGGGGTTGTAGTTTCATATTAAAGTAGAATTTGTTTATTAACATATCTGTGAAATTTTTCTAATAAAATATTGTAAAGAATAATCTCCATAGAAGAACACTGCTGGTGCCATCCCCTATTATGTGCTGCATGACTTTTCCTAAAGGAATTGTGCTGTAATCAGAACCGTCACCATTCCGTTGTTACATGCTTTGGAGTATAGGAGCCATTTGAAAATAGAAATCTGTTATCTGATCGGTTATAAATAAGTGAAAGTCTCTTACTCAGTCCTCTACATGCACACTGGATTGTTAATTTAATAGAAATTCATGACTGCTAGGCTGCTGGCATCTGTTTCTTTAAAAAATAAAAAAGTGCCGGAGCCCTTGTTTTGAAAGTCAGATAAACCTGCTTTCATGTGAGGGGATTTTCTAAAGCAACACTGTGTACTTTCTTCCAAAAGACCATTAATATGCTCCCAGGCACTGGACCTGGTAACAATAATATTTTCCAGGAATGTTTGTGCCTTAACCCAAAAATAAATGTGCTTTGAGAAAGAGCCAAAACCTGATGTTTTTACTCAGGCAAAACTCTCATTGACACTATCAACTGTTAATGTAAGTATTTGCAACTATTCCTATTGTTTTTTTCCTATTGAAACATGTACTTTTTGTGTGTTACACCTACTGTTTTCAAAACAGATAGAGGCACTTTTTTTTCCCAATGTGCCATATAGGTAATGAGAATTAAGGAGAGTCCAAGACCAACAACACTTTTTCCCAATGTCCTGGCTTCAGTATGAAATGTGTAATTGTTACTGCAAATATGCTCAGAAACAATAGTAAGTTTTGGGATTCTTTTATTAATTTTGCTGTGTGCTGCTGCTGATACTTGCAGTTGATATATTTTAACAAAAATGTGCTTACTTCTTTGTTAGATTGTAGTATCTTTGGTAAATGGCCGCCCAGGAGCAAAAAACTTCACTTATTCCCCTAGTCTTCGAGAATTCACAAAAGCAACAAACATCCGCCTTCATTTTCTCAGAACGAATACACTTCTTGGACACTTGATATCGAAAGCTCAACGAGACCCCACTGTAACTCGTAGAGTAAGTACTGTTTTCACCGAGATATACTCAGCAATTGTATTCAGCATGTTAGAGGCCAAAAAATAATCAGAATGTTTCAACAATCGAATTTTACAGTGACCCACCTTTAAATCCTCATATTTTCTCCAGGTTCGTTTGAGACGAAAAGGTAATTGGGTCAGTACAGATGTATGGAGGGGAAGTAATGATTAATGATTTTGTAACAGACTCTCTTCTTTCCCTGTTTTTGAATATGGAAGGAAGTTGGGTGCATCACGGGAGCTATAGGGAGCCAAAGCGGAAATCTTCTCAACTGTCTTACGCAGGGCTGAGGAACTAAACCTCTTCAGCTTTATTTGACACTACCTTCCCTTGTTTATTCAAAGAAAGATTTTCAGGAAACAGTACCTGAGTTTCTGAAGGAACAGGAATCAAAGTGCGTACTCGAAAGTTACTATCTTTCTACAAACTGTTTGAGATGCCTAGGCGTTTTCAGTGGATTTTGGGCTATCCACAAGCTTGAAAGCCAAAGTCCCACTCCCATTCAGTGGGGAAATGTAAGGAAATTCAGCTCCCTCAAGGAAACACCGCATAGAAATTCATATACTTAGAGAGATTGCAGACTTCATATTGTATTGTTATTTTTAACCTTTTCATTTAAAATGAAGATTCGGTAACAATTGGAGGAAACCCTGGGGTGAGGCACTACACAAATGTGTGTGAGAGTTTCTGCATCGAAAAACATAAAACTATTCCAGTTACTTGATAGCACTCCCATTAAGTACTTTCATTGTCTAAAGTAAATTTTAAGATGTTGCTCACAGGCAGATGTAAATGCAGTATTTAGTGTACTTGACAAGCAGCACAGCTTTAGTGTAAGGAACTTCTGATGTTATCATAGCCGTGGGATGTAGGATAGATGAATGAAATGTTGAGTGTTGTATTAAATTGTTAAAAAAGAGCGCAAGTTTTCATTGTAGAGACCTTCCAAGTCTAGGAAAGAGTTAATATTCTTAAGAAAAATCTTTGTGTTAAACTTATTACAGAAACAGATGAAAACCAGACCAGTTCTGTTCTCCTATCCAAGTCACTGCCTAGCTTCCCCTGTTAATGGTTTGAGTTCATGACACACTGAATTATATACAGTATGTTTTATGTCTAAACTCTGGCAGTTTGGCCTAGTAATCATTTTGGCCTATTGCTAATTTGACTTATTACTGACCAGTGACAGTACAATTACTGTTAGTAGTAAAGTGTAGCTCCGTATGAAGCTACAAGGCTGTATGAAACTATGGACTGGGTTGTAAAGACTCTTATACAAAAAACAGTCCAATATGTTGGTGAGAGTCACAGTGATCATTTCTAGCTTTGCTGAAAACACTGAAAGCATAGGTTTTACTTACAGTTTGAAAATGGTATGCACAGTTAAAAATGAATGTGTATATTTGAATAGAGATAGTTCAGAAGGCAAAAAATATTTCCTAATCTGTATATCCCATCTACTGTTCTTCACCTGCCTAGCACAAAGACAGCTAGTTGGGAAATCTCCCTGTCTTGGGGAAGCATCTCATCTGTGCCCAGCCAACCCCACCTACATAAAAGTAGAGAATGTGTATGCAACTGAGACGAATCACAGAATGGCTGAGGTTGGAAGAGACCTGGAGGTCATCTGGTCCAACCTCCCTGCTCAAGCAGGGTCACCTAGAGCTGGTTGGCCAGGACCATGTCCAGACAGCTCTGGAGTACTTCCAGTACCTCCAAGGGGGTAGACTTCACAACCTCTCTGGGCAACCTGTGTCAGTCACCCTCACAGTGAAAAAGTGTTTCTTGATGTTCAGAGGGAACCTCCTGCGTTTCAGTTTGTGCCTGTGTCTCTGGTCCTGCCACTGGGCACCACCGACAAGAGCCTGGCTCCATCCTCTTTGCACCCTCCCTTCAGGTATTTATAGACATTGACTAGATCCCCCTGAGCCTTCTCTTCTGAGCAGTCCCAGCTCTCTCAGCCTTTCCTCATAGGAGAGCTGTTCCAGTCCCTTCCTTATCTTTGGCCCTTCATTGGACTCTCTCCAGTATGTCTATGTCTCTCTTGTACTGGGGAGCCCAGAACTGGACAGAGCACTCCAGGTGCGGCCTCACCAGTGTTGAGTAGAGGGGAAGGATCACCACTGAGAGAGGCTATATACACCACTTAGAGGGACTGTATTGTGAATAGAGTGAGCACAGGAGACATAACTGCATAATGTTTTGACCCTTTTTCTCTTCATCCTCCAGTGGCATTAAATCTGCCCGTTTAATTTTTCTGGGGGTACATAGAGATGAAGATTTACAACCAGCTCTCTGTTCTCCCTGATGCTCTTAAGGAGACAAGGAGACAACTTCTGAGCTACAAAAATGTATGCAGAAGTTACTATTGATATGTATACAGTAATGATATTTTCACTGAGTTGAACCAATTAAGTTTTTATCTTCTGTTGCCTGGGTGCCTGCAAGGCGTGAGGATGAGATACAAAGTGTTTCAACTTCAGGTCACAATTTCAAATCCAGTTTGAGTGATTTGACTGAGCTGGTGATTCTGGTCTGTTTCTAGTGTTTAGTGATCATGTCTGACTGAATGGGGAAACTGCACTGCCCATACCAGCGTGTCTGGTTTGTTGACCAGACCAAGGTATCACAGATTTATGCTTTGACAGTACTTTACATCTCCATCCTCAAGCTTGCTTTGAACAAGCTTTGGGCTTGGGTACTGATGGCTGCGTAGCTGCTGGGGAGTGGAGAGCTACAGCAATATGCATTTGGTGTGAGCTGCACAAGCCTGTTGCAATCAGAGTATCACGGGTATTGACTTTCATTTGCTGGTACTCATACTAAGACATAGACATCAACCAGAGGTTTGACCATTGGCTGCCTGACTTAGGCCTTTTGTAAAGTCATGCCTTTAAAATTCTGATAAGCAATGTTTAACAATCTGATGTTGATATTTCTGACATGATACAAGTAAGGGAAGACCGATACATACTTCTTGTGCTTCTTCCATAGTATTACTACAGTATAAAGGACATCAGTATTGGTGGTCGATGTGTTTGCCATGGCCATGCTGAAGTATGTAATGCAAAGAGTGCTGAAAACCAATACCAGTAAGTAAACTGAGCACGACATTAATTTAATATGAGAAAAACAATACATGAATGTTTTCAAATGATCCTTTTCACTATGGAATGATATAGTCTTACAGGGATTTTTCATTATGTTTAAAAAACTAGGATGATGCTAATGATTGACAAGAAAACATGTGAAGAGCTATTGTGTGTGAAACATAATAATAAAAAGTCTTTACTTAGATTTTTCTTTTTAATTGAAATAAGAGTTTGGCAGATTGAATAATTTTTTAGAAACCCTTAGTTCTTTTTGGAAAACATGGGTTGATATCACCTTCCAGCAGGAGGAATTAGAAGCCCAACTCAAGAACAGAGTTAGTGAACTTCCTGGAGGTATTGAACATTATAACTGAGCTCAGCCAAGACCCAATGGCTTTCAATCATTACTAGAAAAAGTAAAAACAGAAACTGAAGGAACTATCTCCTTTCCCTGTGAAGTTCCCTTTCCCTGTGAAGTTTATGATCTGCATATTGATTTCACAAGGAGTTAGATCAGGCTGCTCGGCTCATCTGCTACAGGAAAGTGACTGTGAATAATGAGGCTGTCTAAAACATATTTTAAAAGCCTGGTTTAAACCAGCGGTTGCTCTTATCCATGATGGTATTGAGACAAACTTTTATCAAGACAATGCAATATTTTCAGTTGTGTTTTAATGAAGAGTAAGTGGGTAGGTGGATGCCTCCTTTCCAGATGTCTGTGCTAGAGAAAAGTAAGTACAGAAGGTGTGAAATCTACGGGAATAGGATGGTTATACTCAAAAATTGTATTGTCCCTCGGTTATTAGACCACATAGATAAGACAGGAACATTGGAAAAGGCCTCTCCAGTCTCACGGTATCTTTGTTCCTCCTGGGATTCAGTTACTATGCATGATAGTAAGACCTACCCCATAATAAGAGCCTGCCTGCCCTTTAAGTAGGCTATTCAGCTAAATCAAAATAAATATGAACTACATTTTCTTGATGAATAGTGTGCACTATTTTAAAAATAACAAGATGAAATTATGATCTTGCTTTATTAAAAACACTAATAAAATTATTGTAAACAAAGCATAATGAAAAAATGATGAAGATGTGCATATAACGATGATAAATATTTTGATTTTCTGTAGGTCAACAAGCTTCAGCCTTGGAATGAAGCTAAAGTAGCTTCATCCTAAAGTGTTATATATCAGTTGATTTGATATTCTAGAATAAACTTTCATAATCTGGTCTATTGAATCCAATTATAAATGTTCTCTATAAGTAATTTGTGCTAATAAACTCATAATCACATGATTAAAGTAATCAATCATGAAGAATTTTAGGAATGTTCCAAAATGTTCTAATATTACTGTTTGACCTCCTTACATGTGAGCTTATGTCCTGTCCTTTCCACACTACGTACAAGTCTTGGACTACAATAAAATTAAGAAAAGAAGTTTAAATCCAGCTTCAGTACAATAAGAGGCTTTCATCTCTGTAGGTTTCAGTGTGAATGTCAGCATAACACTTGTGGGGAAACCTGTGATCACTGCTGCCCTGGATATAATCAGAAACAGTGGCAACCTGCAACAGCTGGGAGCACGAATCTATGCGAACGTGAGTAGCCTGAAAGATGCTGGGTTAAAAGGGACACTGACAGGTGGGTTGGGGTTAGCCATAGCACACATGTTCATGGAGCATAACTAGCACACTGCATGTTTTAACACCTTTTTTCTTTACTAAGAAAATTCTTTCCATACAGCAATAAGCAACAGATGATGCAATAATGAATATTATTTATGTTCTTCTCTCTTATTAAACAATGAAAATAGTAATTCGTGTGAGAATATTGCATGAAAAAAGTGGAAGCCTTCTTGTAGTACGTTGGGTCAACATGTCTCCCCAGTCGTAGCTGTCTGCTGACAGATTGTGGGTCCCCCCTAGCGGAGCAGAGACTATGGGCGTCTTATACAACTTCAAAATTTGCCTCCCCATCACCCAGCCTCTTGGTGTTCAGATTGCAGAGAGATTGCTCAAGGCTGCCTCTGCTTTCAGGCGCTTGAGCTGCCCTCCGTTCTCCTGCTGATGGTCGTCCCTCGCTGACCATACGTAAGTGGGCACAAAGACGTTCCTGGTGGGGAGTCCAGGCAATTCTACACTTGCACCCCTTTCCGTGCTCATAGTTGGGAGTTTGGAGTGCTTTAGCCCCCACAGACTGAGTAGTCAAGCTGGAGAAGCCCATTGACCTTTCTCCCACCTCCCCTGTGTTTCATTCTTTTGTTAAAGAATATGAGCATACGGACCCCCTTTTGGTGGAGGGGTACGTACTGTCACACACAGGTGTTTTGCATCCTTCTGGCCAGAAACCAGTGAGTGTGGTACAGACAGCGTTCCCATCTCTGTGCACATCCTATTCTGCGTTGGCAGCCTGCACTTTCCTTTGTGTCTGGCCTAATTTATTTTCCTCGCCTGCCATTCCTGAGAGTAGCGTACCCAGTGGGTACAAACCGTTAACAGGGGAACCTTATTTGAAAGCCAAAGAGATGTACCTATATAATTAGTTTGAGGAACAAAGAGATGGCTTGTTTAATCAAAACTGCAGTACTAAGACTGAGTGTTGAGCGGGGGGGAAGATGATTAAAATGTTTGATAGGAGATAGACATGTTGGGACACAATTTTTGGGCAATATTTGAAACCTCATTTAAATTCCTCTCTTTGAAAGGAAAACATTTTCTGCCAGGAAAGAGATAGACAAAGAGCATAAATAATGTCATGTTTTTTAAAGAATGAGTTTATAGAAGATCATCTACAAGATTCTGAGCCAAAACAACTTTGCTTCTAACTACCTCTGAAAAAATACTCTTTTTAGTATGGATTGCTCCTAGCGGTTTGAGGTGATTTGTTGAGAGCATTTGCCAGGTGCAGACCTCTTTTCCTGGCAGCCGGTAGTGAAGGAATTAAAGCAACCTCGTTAAGCTTCCCAGAAGCCTGAGGTCCCTTGATGGAAAGAGGTTGGTGGGAGCTTGTAGGGATAAGCCCAACCTTTTGCTATGAGTTTCCCAGTACTGTTTGGGTCAGCAAATGGCCCAAAGTAGTGAGAAGATGCTTGATGAGGTAGAAGGGGTTCCTATTCTCCTGTGAGAGAAAATGCTATTACTATAATCAGAGCAAATAATTTCCCATCGCTGTTAGAAGACATACTTGTAAGCTGTAGCTCATAGACGGTTTGGCCCTAGAGGCAAGGAGCTTTTATTTACATTGTAAATCTTTTTTTCTCTTCTTTCCTTTTCTGACTTAGTGTCTTGAACCAGCATCTCATTTGTGCAATGTTTTATTTTCTTGAAGAATTATATGAATAAAAATCCCCAAGGATCTTCACAGGCTATCACAACCTGGCCAGGGAACCCAGTCTCGACCTGTCTGGTTCCTGTCAGCAGACCATAAGGGAACCTGATGGCAGGCCACCACCTCAGCTGGTAGTTTCTAGGAAAAGGCTTCCTTGTCCAAACCTGTTCACATATAAAGACGTGGAGGAGATACAGAGAATGATCCAGTTTCCCTTCTCTTGTCTGTATGATCACGTAGCAAGGCATGGAGAATCAGTCGTCCGTGGTACTCCCAGTTGTGCTCCCAGTTGTGCCAGGTACTTGGAATAGAGTTTGGAAGGATTACTTCCCATACGCTTCCCTAATCGTGAAGAAAGTAGGGCAAGGGCCCTTAGCTTCTGTTTTGAGGTGTTTTCAGGAACGAATTGCCTTCCAGAGTATCTTATCCCCTGGTCCAGATGAAGGGAGGATTTTCCTAAACATGAAGTCATAGGTTTATAAAGTCAAAACTTCAGGAGTTTCCTGGGAAGGTTTCCCTGGAGTGCTGGAACATCTGTAATGAAAAGCTCACCTAGCAGCCAGATGCTTGGGGAAGCCCTTTTTGCTTCCTGCATTCTTTCAGAAAAATTCCTGTTGTTCCTCTCCTGCGAGAAAAGAAGGTCGGACATAGAATGAGTTTATGGCAAAACCATCATCCTGCCCTTTGATTTATTCTGTTTGCTTGCTACTATGGTTGGTTCCTACTCAGATTTATTTTATAGTTCTGGAAGACTTCAGTGAAGACAGGCACAGCGTTACATGACCAACAGGAAGAGATTCATTTTAACTAAGATGGGAAGAGTATGAGATATTCGTAACTGATCTCTAGGAAATTAGATAAAATTTTCTGGGTAAATCCATCACCCTTTACTCAAACTTTATTTGCAGGAACTATTCAAAGTGTGGAGCTATTTTTCAGGTTAATTCTCTTCTGCAAGCAAGGCACAAATGTTGGGCTGGCTTTGGGATTTGTATTGCTAGGTCTTTATGCCAAAGGTAAAACAGGAAAGGCTTTTCGGGATTTAGGTCTCCCACGTCAATGCAAGGAGATCGGTGAAGCCAGCTGATGTGCATACAAGGCCACGAGTGGATATATCAGTGGATGTGTCTCAGATGTTTTCAATAGGTCTACTTCCGAGACTGAGACATATGGTGAGGCTGATGTGCCTGCAAGCAAAGCCTCACAGGTATCTCTCTTTCAGTCTCTTCTGAGCACTGCAATATTAGCATCTGTTAAAAGGAGTTAAAAGTATATGTATGTGGAGATGGATTCAGAGCCACTGTGAATTCAGCTGTTACCTTCATTTGGCTTAACAGAAGAGAAAAATAAAGGAAAGGAGCTAACCACAAACCACCCAAAGTAAAATTTATCACAGCTGAGACTATAAACAACCATACACTGGGGAAGTGAGTTATCTCAGTCACCTAATTCTATCCTTTTCTATATAATAACAATAATATATTGTTACAATCATTACAACAATCATACCATACCTCTTTAAAACATACTTTTTTGAACCCACAATTCCCAGGAAGCAGAATGAGCTCGTACCTAAAACTTCTCCATTCAGAAGACAACCGCTGGGTAAATGTATAGCCAAGTTTGCGGGTTTATCTTTATCTACAGCTGAGTATGAGAGTTCTTTGGTGTAGGTCTTTTTATTCAAATGTTTATACCTTCTCTATAATTATTTATTTTAAGTAAAGGTTAGTGCACACAGCTTCAGCCCAGATATATTTTTAGACATGGAAAAATAAAATAAACATTTGAACATGTTTTTGATAATTTTTAAAAACTGCTGAGACCATTCTTCTGGAGCTTCCTAGTTCTGCATTTATGCATAAAAATATGTTGTTTGAGGTGGTACAACTGTTGCCTCCTCTGATAAGCCCAGCAGCGCATGTTTTCCTCGTACATGGACGATCTTACCATGTTTCTGGTGTGAAAATCCAGGTGTTAATAGGTAAATTTGAGCATACTCTGACATACCTGAGTGTATGTATACATAAAAAATCTAAGCTTCTTTTTCACCTCTGCTACATTACTGAATTCCAGCATTATAATGAAAGCTGACTTGGAATATTACTTTTTCAGCCTGCAATTGCCATGGACATGCCATTGATTGCTACTATGATGCTGATGTTGATCAGCGTCGAGAAAGCTTAAACATCCGTGGGCATTATGAAGGTGGAGGAGTCTGCATTAACTGCCAGGTAAAAAGGTGGTTTTGGTCAGTTTAAATAAATTACATTTGAAGGAGGACTGTGCCCACACCAATAGTTTGGCTGACCAATCTAGATAGCTCCATTTCTCTGGGGTTGTTACTTGACTTAAAGCAGGGAAAAAGGTGTCTGAAAATAGTTTACATTGTACAACATTGCTTATTAATGTATAAAAGACACATATAAATTGTATTTATGCTCAGTCCTGTGTGATTCAAATAAAGCAACAGTTAAATCAACTACAAAAATTCCCATTCCTATTATTACGAACTCTGCCATTTCCCTGCTTAACAGAAGGAAGTAAAATTAACCAAATAAAATTCCAGCTCAGGGCAGCTGGTTCCTTACTGCAGCAAAAGACAGAGGGCTCTCCCTCACCAGCAGGAGTAAAGGAGGGCATAGGCTATACCAAGAAGTAAGCTTATAGGTATTGAAAAAACACAGAATCGTAGAAGGGGACCTCTGGAAGTCATCTAGACTAGTGCTCCACTCAAACTAAGGCTATGTGCAAAGTTATATTAGGTTGCACTGAGAAATGTCCAGTTGCGTTCTGAAAATTTCTGAGGGTGGAGATTACCCAGACTCTGGGTAATCTTTTACAGCACTTAATTGCTGTCATGGTAAAGAGATTTTTGTTACTGTTCAGTAGGAATTTCCCCAGTTGCAACTTGTGACAGCTGGCTTTTGTCCTTTTGCTGTGCACGTCTGAGAAGAGTTGTCTCTGTCTTCGGTATAACTCTCTCTTAAGTACAGGAAAACTGCCATTAGACACCTCTGTTCCCCTTGAACATCACTTCTGCAAGCCGACCAAAGCCATTCCCTCAGTTTCTCCTTACATGTCATGTGCTCCAGCCCCTTAACTCTGTTAGAGGATCGGTTGGATTGAATCAACAAATGTAAATTTGGAATCAGAGACTTTACACTGTGTCTGTCATTAATGAATGATACGTTCTTGGAAAGAGAAAGAATGTCTCTCATCCTGAGTAACTTTTGTCCTACTCTGGCTAATTACTATCAGGAAAGATCGTACAAGGTGGCTAATTACTATCAGGAAAGATCGAACAAGGCTCTGATCAACTTGATATAATCTTGGACTTATCTCTGCTTTGAGTGGGACTGAACCACCTGACCTCCTGAGGTCCCTCACAACCTAAATTATTCATTGGTTCAGTGATCTCGGGGTTAAATACATCCAGACTTACTTGGAAACCTGTCTTCCTTTTGTTGTCAAGTCTTCTGAAGTATGATGACAAGCAGCTGACCAGAACTTAGTTCAGAGGGAAAATTATCATCAAGCCTATTTTCTTATGAAACCTGTATCATGAGTTATGTATTACCATGCTGTGCATTTAAAAATATAATGGTATTTAAGGAACAAAAAAAAGGAAATAGCCAGCAAAATTTATAGGGTATGTTTTCCATCTTATTGCTGCAATATAATCAGATATTGTCCTAAAGGCAGTCAGAAGAGAGTAGAGTTATTTTTACTAGCATGAGTAGAAGAAATGTTCTTTGTCCTCCAGTTGACATTTCTGTGCAGAACTTTATTCATGCAGTCTGGTAAGATTTATCATGTTGGTCCTTCCTGTCAGCTCTTTGTTCATGACAGAACATTTCTCTTACATTTCTTCCAGGATAGAAAAGAGCAAAATTAATCTAAATCTATGAGTCCTGGTTATATGACTGATATTAATTGTTTGTAACCTAATTTTGTGGAAGTTATGCTGGATTAAATGAGTTTACCATAAATCTAATTATAGCATTTTTTTTTTGTGGATAAAGCACATGGATTTTAATTTACTTTTTCTGTTAGTGTCAGGAAAGTATTAGGAATGGATGCTTGAATGAAGAAGTGATAGAATTAAAATTGCATTCAGATAGATTCAATTTCTTTAGAGTCTGATAACAAGGGAGCTCTGGAAATCACGTAGTCCAGCCCCCTACTCAGAGCAGGTCTAATTAGATCAGGTTTCCCAGGCACTTGTTCGGTCAAGCTTTGAACACCTCCAATGGTGGAGATGCCACAACCATTCATGGCAACCTCTTTCAGTGTTTGGCTGCCTTCATGATAAATTTTTTTCCCTAATATCTAATTGGAGTTTTCCATGTTCCAGTCTGTGCCTGTTGCCTCTCGTCCTCTTGCTGGACTCTGAGAAGAGTCTGGCTCCATCCCCTCTGTATCCTCTGATCAGGTAGTTGTAGGTAGCAGTAAGTTCTCCCTTCTCTTCTTAATGCTGAAGAGACCCAACTGTCTCAGCCTCTTCTTGGATGTCGTGTGCTTCAGTCCCTCACCACCTTGGTGGCTCTGCCCATCTCTTGTCCATAGCACCAGTCATCTTATCACAGAGAGCAATGAGGTTGATCGGGCATACTTTGCCCTAGGTAAATTTATGTTGAATACATCCAACCACCTTCCTGTCCTTCGTGTGTTCTAAGATGATTTGTTCACTGGATCTCCTTCCCCACTGAGCAATGGGCCCTTACTCCCATTAGCTTTTCTTTTGCTGTGGATGTACTCCTAGAAACCTTTCTTTTTGCACTTCACCTCCCTTGCTAGTTTTAACTCCAGCTAAGCTTTGGCTTTTCTAACTCCACTCCTACATGTGTGGGCAATGTCTTTGTATTGCCACCAAGTAGCCTGTCCCTGCTCCCACCTTCCGTGTACTTTCTTTTTGAGTTTGAGATCAATCAGGAGCTCTGGATTTATCTGTGCTGGCCTTCTGCCATGCTTGCTTCACTTTCTGCACATTGGAAAGAGCTGTTCTTGTTCTAAGGAGGCTGTCCATGAGAATCAACCAGATCTCCCGGTCTGCTTTCCCCTCCAGGGCAATTTTACACAGGATCTTGCCAAGCAGTTACCTGAACAAGCCAAAATCTGCTTTTCTGAAGCCCAGGACTGTAATTCTGCTATTTGTCTTGCTTACTTGTCTCAGGATCTTAAAATCCACAGTTTCAGGGTCACTGCAGCCAAGGCTGCCCTCAGCCTTCACATGTTCTTCCTTGTTAGTGGAAGTCAGTTTGAACAGAGCATCTCCCCTAACTGGTTCATGAACCTCTACATCCAGAAATTGTCTTTGATACATTCGAAATAACTTCTGGATTGCTTGCACCCAGCTGCATTGCCCTTCTGGCAGATACTGAGGTGGTTAAAGTCATCCACGAGTACCAAAGCTTTCTCTAGCTCCCTAAAGAAGGCTTCATTTGCCTTCTTGTTCAGGTGGTCTGTAACAGAGACCTACTACAGTATCAGCTGTGCCGGTCTGTCCTCCGATCCTTACCCACAAGCTCTGCACAGGTTCATCACCTGCCCCAAGCCCCAGGGAGAGGCCCAGGCATTCTCTGCAGCCCCAGACCTGGACAGTGGCATCCACCTCCTGGAGCTCTGTCTGGGGTGGGGCCTCTGATGTGCCACGGCAGTTAGCACCAGTAGTCTCCGAAGAATGTGCCCTGCAATGTATTGAGACCATCGCTGCACAATCTCCAAGTAGCCCTGCACTGTCTTGAGCAGAGATGCTGGGCCCCTCTGTGCTCCTGCCATGCTAAAAGTGCTGCAGCAGCCCCTGCGTCTCCGTCTGCTGTGCGATGTGAGCATCACCCTCCCTGAGCGAGCGTCAGCCTTTCCCAGCAGTAGCTCAGATCCGAAGACGCTAGAGGAGGCTCCTGGCAGAGCTGGAAGCAGAACCCAAAACTACTGTGCAAACTGAGAGTGCCGACAGCGAGCAGCAGCCCCAGCAGCGTCCTGGGTGCCCTGCTCATGAACTGCCCCTCCGTTAAATGCCGGGTCCCTGCTCAGCCCTGAATTGCGACACTCCCTAAGGAGGAACTAAACAGCGAGTGGGCGCTGGGGGCAGCTGCTCCGGGGCAAAGCTTCCCCCACCTCCGCTTCCCCGCTTACGAGACTACGAGCCCACCAGAATGCCTTGTGACCGTGATTTACTCAGCTGGTGAATGCTGTTGCCGCAGCACGCTCCTGCCGCCCCCACCACAGGGGAGGGCTTTGCTGCACGAGTTGAAACACACTGAGGACCGTGTTCACAGCGGATTTAGGTTTTTTTAGCTGTGGTTCAAGTTAGTTACGTTATTTTTTCTGTGTGCCTAAAATACATGTTTATAGAGAGGTATGCTTTTCTAATGGAAGATCTGTTTTATGCTGACTGATCAGGTTTTGGTTTATTTTGATGTGGCTGATCTTAGACATAGGGTATTAAAAAAAGTAATAGTATGAGGAAAAATTAATGGTGCAGTTGCCTGAACGATGTATATGTTATGTTAGACATAGGGTATTAAAAAAAGTAATAGATAGTATGAGGAAAAATTAATGATGCAGTTGCCTGAACGATGTATACGTTATAATAAGAAAGTAGTATAAGAAGAAATAAATATGTGCTAGTGAAACAGAAATTTTTTTCCTAGATTTACTTTTTTTTTTGTTAAAATAGCTCTATTCTATGCTTTAAAGATAAAATTCAGCTGCTTTATGTGAGAATACAATGATTCAGAAATCTGTAGAGAACAGGTGGTTAAAGAACAGCAAATGATGAATGCTGTCTTTATTGCAGTCATATTCCATTTTTTTTCCTGTCCTGATCCTTTTTCAGTTGTATATAGAAACAGTGTAAAGGATGTTATTGTTTCGTAATTCTTCCACGTTCCCCTTTTTATCTCATATTCTCCTTCTGTTTTATTTTGCACAGCATAACACAGCTGGTATTAACTGTGAGAAGTGTGCAAAAGGTTACTATCGTCCTTACGGTGTTCCAGTGAGAGCTCCTGATGGCTGTATACGTGAGTCCGTTTCTATTAAGTATCTGCTCATGGTGGTGGCTTGAGGTATTTTTGCTATAATGAGAGCATGGGATGCACCTTTTGGGGAGGAAAAATGAAAGAGTGGCTAAAAGATGTTGGAGAACAATTGCAAATGACTTTCTGTTTTGCTTTACACCCTTTCTTCTCAACTTATGTGTCATATGAGCCTAAAGCTTCAGTCCATCAGCAGGACAATAGGAGGAAGTAAGGCAGAAAAGGCTGCTGAGGAGATAGGATCATGTAAGCCTGGGGTGCTGCCACACACCCCACAGTGAGGTGGCACGACCTCTAAGAAGCCACTCTCATCTCCTACCCTCATGACCTTGCTTCTCTTAGCTCTCTGATGTATATATGAGGTATCCTTTGGCTCTTGGTCACTTGAAAATTTTATTCTATAGCTCAAAAGGTCACGAGGATCACTACTCCTACTTTATGCAGTGCTGAACCTAACGTCTAATAAATAATGCAATAGGATAATTACTAATGTAACATTTAAAAAAGAAGGACTGAGTATAGGTAAGAGGTAAGAGTTGAATTTCAAACAGACTGAAGGAGCCTTGTGACAGGTAGGAGGAAAGTTTGTTGAGTTTGGGTATTGAAATGAATGGGAAGTCAACAGAGCCGTGACGTGCTGCCATAATGTTGCACGTGTGTGCAAGGGAAGGTGGATAGAGCGTGGTGCTTAGCCTAGACCACGGAGAGAGATGAGCAGGTGCCACAGAAAAGATAGTTGCAGCAGTGCTGTGGAGTAATAACATGCAGCTTTCTGAACTAAAAAAGACTAAACACACTAAGAAAATAACATAGGTCTTACTTCTAAGGGATATCACAAAGATTAATTGGTGATATAGAGTACTTGGAAAATATGTAACAGCATGCAAATGTTAATTCTTTAAATAATCAGGCATTCACAGCTGCAAATCTACTGTTATAATGCCATTGTGTACTGCTGTAAAAGGTAAATTAATTCTTTTCCAAAGAGTGCCTAATTGCTGATACTTATTTAGCTTGCAGTTGTAACTTGGAGCATGCAGAGGGCTGTGAGGAAGGGTCTGGCCGCTGCTTCTGTAAGCAGAATTTCCAGGGAGAAAACTGTGAACGCTGTGCTGATGGATTCTATGGTTATCCATTTTGTGTCCGTAAGTATACAAATAAAAATGCCCCTTTTCCAGTATTTTCATTAAAGAATTAACAGTTTTCATTACACTTGACTTGGTTAAAATACCTGGCATTTCAGCTTCACATGTTCTGATAAATCAGTTGTCATAATATGAAGAGAATCTGGTTTATTTTACAAAACGATGGTTATTTGAAAATCAAATAGGTTGTGCTGCATTCTCACAATTCTGAGTTAATTTAAGACATCTTTGTCGAGGCTACAGCCTATCTCTCAGTAAGTAAGTCATGAACTCCAGTCCTAAAACTCTGGACAAATTGTTTAAACGTGTCTCAGGGTCTTTAGGTATGAAGAGCACTTGGGCTGGGAAGTGAAACATGACTGTAGTGAGAGAGAGGGGAAAAAATGGTTATCTGTTCTCCTTGATGCCTCCTAGGATTTGGAACTTGCATGCCTGATAAACGAAGCTTGTGGGCTTTTGGAGGATTCTAAAATAAATAAAAATAATTCTAAAATAGCACCTGCATAATGTTGGAAAGGTCATCCTGGCAGAGCATAACGCTCTCAGCCATGCTCTCTTATTTTTGCTGGACTGCGGGTAGGTGCAGATGTGTGGTCGAAGGAAGGGTTCCAGTTTGTTTCAGATTTTTTAAGAAATGGTTGAAGGAAAGGTATTTGTAAATCCAGAGAAAATAAACGTATTAGAAAAAACAATGCGACACAAATGCTGAGTGCTTCTGCTTATTGAAAATGGTAACAGAATGCTATCTAATGCTATTGATTAATTGAAAATTAGATTTTTACTTCAAAATAAAGAGATTAAAATTAAGTGTTGGGAATTCAGCAAATTAAATGCTTTCCCCATAAACAAATCATACATAAAGTAGCTGAGGAAAAAACTGAGGAAAAAAGTAACGTCAGAATTGTGTTTGTTGCATAAAAGCTTGTGACTCCATGATCAGATTCTAAAAATGCATCAGTGGGATGTTTTGTGCCCTCAGGAGAAGCGTGTTTCTGACAGCCAACAAAACAGGTGGTGGTCTGGGGCAAGATTTGAGGTCTGACTAAAACAGAGGTACCATGATGAAAATGGAAGAAGAGGGAAATCAATATGAAACAAAGGAAAAAAACAGTGTTAAAAAATGAAATGTTGTTTGTTTTCAATGGCTGTGATAGAATAAATCCTCTCTGTACAGTGCACTCTAGATTATCACATCTCATTTATCCTCTTGTTTGTAGTCCCACATTTTTAAGTAGGTTCAGCTCAGGTAGACCTTGATCTAAATCCCACTGATCTTTGTAGCACATTATCTTTGGATCCCATCTTAATGGAGAAAAGTTTGTTGGGATGTCTTTCCCATTCCTAATCTGGAGGATTCACAAATAAAAAGCTCCCAAGATGTAACGTATATGTCATGAATTCTGGCAGTTCAGGTAGCGAGTGATGGTTTGTCATGATTTTTAGTGAAATAACTGTGTCTGTTTCAAATATGCTTCATTGTTTCTTTTGTTTTAAAGGTATTCCTGTATATCCTTTTACTTCTCCAAATCCAAGAGATGCTATGGCTGGTGACATAATCGGCAAGTTCTTGGTGTTTTTTTTTCCCCCCCATTTCACTGTTTTTCCCCCTGTCGCTATTTTTCACTGTTTCAGTGGTTCCTGCTCTTTCATGGAGATTTATGTAGTAATTTTGCTACTGTTGGTATTTATCTTTCAGAGAGCCTTTGTTCTTGCCAGAAGTTCATCATATTGTCATGTTCGTATTGAACAGTTTAGTAGGCTAGTTTCAGAAAGAGTTATGGATCAAAATAAATTTGACCAGCCTCCGGCAAACATCTGCAGAAGAGGCTGACCATCTTGTTCGGTGCTCTTACGAACAGATCCATCAAGACTTTCTGACATGCACAACTTGTCAGCTGCTTTGCAGTGTAAATCTCTTTCTTAAGGCTAACTGGCCTCTGCTTCTGGACTGTCCTCTTGCACCTGGCAAATTGTACATTGCCCTTGGCAGTCAAGAACTTTGATTTCTGAGAGAGCTACATATTTCTTATTTAGCCCACTGCAAAGCTGCCTGAAATCCATACAATGATTCCCTCAGTGGGCTTATGTTTTTTAGTATATATTATTATACTGCAGAACGGAGACATCATCACAGCTAGTGCTTAATCACGTACATAGCTGTAATGCACTTCAGGATTAATAACTTTAAAAAACCTCGAAACCTTTTTCGTATCCTAAAATCAACATTCTTCCCCTTTATTTCTGCTAGCTTTAATGGAACTGGAGTTTATGTTGGCAAATGAAAAAGTATTTTCTTCTGTGAATGTAGCAGACATTTAGGTATAAGCAGACAAATCCATGTATGTATTTACAAGTCCCAATTGTTTTCTTGAAAGTGTCTGCAGTTGCCATCACAGCCCACAAAGGCTCAGTCTCCTGTATCACGTATCTCCTTCGTACAGCATCCAAAAGAATTGCCCTGCTAGGCCTCTGGGTATGCTCTGTCGCATATTTAAAAGACGTGTAGATGAGGCCTTGGGGACATGGTTTAGTGGGTGTGCTGGTGTTGGGTTGACGGTTGGACTCGATGATCTTAGAGGTCTTTTCCAACCTTAATGATTCTATGATTCTATTCTATGATTCTATATCCCCTTCTCTCACATATTTTTAAAAGGAAGAAGAAAGAAAATTCCAAAGAAAAATGAATAAATATAAACCGGAGAGAACAGATCTTGAGCTATTTACATTTTCAACGAGTAGCATCTGAGTCTGAAGGCCTAAGAAAGGCAGCTGCCTCTAAGTGGAAGCTTCTGTGCCTGTAGAAGTTGTAAATTTGTGTTGGCAGACGAAGCATGATTACAGATTATTATTTTTTTAAATGAGATTTGCGTGTAAGGGTCATACAAATAGTTTTGTCGGTTCGAGAGTAATAATTACAAAGCACTGATCTGTTTTTCTCTGCAAAAATAGGAGGAGTTGCGTGATTTTATGCATTAACTTTGTTCCTTTCTTTCTTTTCCTTTCCTGTTGTAACAGAAGGCGGCTGCAAACCAGGGTATTTTGGCCCCCAGTGTCTGCGTAAGTGCCGTAGTTTCTTTGACTCTTGGAGCCTGCTCTCCGGTGTCAATGCCAGCCTTCGGCTTCCAAGTGAAATAGGAACTTTAAGATCGTAATGCCGTAAATGTTTTCTTTACAAATGTGCTCTTCAGCATGCCAGTGCCATGGCGCAGGAGTGCTGGGAGGCGACTGCGATGGAAATACCGGACAGTGCAGATGTCGAACTGGATTTTGGGGGTTTTCCTGTGATACCTGTGCAGTTGGGTATTTTCATTACCCCTTCTGCCAGGGTAAGCCAAAACATTCCCTTTCAGCAAGCATATCAAGTTTTATAGTGAGGGAATTTCAATCCTGTTTGCCACAAAGATGTGTTCATAAGGGGCTCTCCCCAGACTCAAGAAGTCAAAGAAGAAGAAAAATGTGGTGAGGGGGGATTTCTATCTAAAAATGCCCCTGATTCATTGATCACTGTCTACTGTGTGATGCAGCTGTCAGGCTCCAGTTTGAGGTTGGATTTAGTAACATTGATGAGATTTAGAATACCAGTGGGAACATTTCTGTTACTTGTCGTTGTTTTTTAAAAATTTTATTTGTGTTTAATTTGAGTTTGCAACCTCACTTTGATGCATCAAGCTGCCCTTTCTAATCAATACTAGAAAACTGACTGTTTTTAAACTTTATTAACCATCTCCGTACTGTCTTTTTAGGCATTTTATTAACCATTCCCACCTGAGCTTGTAAATCCAAACCATAAATTGTTTCATTTTAGTCTTAAAAAGGATGGAATTACTTTCAATAGTTGGCATACCCCTCTGAGTGGGGACGGGCTAAGTGTAGTACTTCAACACTGACACTGAACGCAGTAGTTACTGTGAGCGAGATTCTTTTGCTCTTGCACTAATATCTCCCTCGGTACTGAATCACTACTGATGTGGGCAATCAATAAAAGCTGTTACGAATCAAAATAAATTTGATGGGAAGATTTTGGTCCCATTGAGCATCAGGGAGTCTTGCTTTTTAATTTTTTTTTTTTATTTCTTTAAAGAAAGATAAGAGAGTCTGTGCAGAGGCTGCCTCTGAAATGTCTTTTCTCATTTGCAGTGTGCGAATGTAACTCGGCGGGTACCCAGCCCAAAGTCTGTGATTTTCTCGGGAGGTGTCTTTGTCGCTCAGGGGTAGCTGGACCTCAGTGTGACGGCTGTCAGCCTGGCCACCGCTCGTTCCCTGCCTGTGAAGGTAAGGCTGCCGATCGCATGTACAGCATCAGACAGACCCCTGAACAGGCAGAGAGGAGTGCTTTTCAGGTGCCGTTTTTGCAGTGGCTGCAGCAATGTTCACATGAGCAAGGGACTCTGGTTCTCTACAGTGAAGTCCTCATACATTTTCATTCTCCAAGCACTAATTCCAGGCATGTTTCCATAGTAGGGAAGAATTATATAGTGGTTTTTCTCACAGGCTTTTTTTTTGCGTGGCCGGACAGTTTCATATAGCCTCAGTAAGCACAGCTTTCTTACTAATAACCAAACCATTTGAAAGCTGTTTTCACATGAAGACCTACAGCAACAGAGCATGCTTGACTGCTAAGGAACTGGCATAGTAAAAAAACCAAGCAGAGCTGTGAAGCACTAATCTACTTTTGCAGAGGGTCTTTGTTTGGTACCTTGCAAAATGTGTGTTCTGTAAATCAGAAAATTAGAAGCTCCCATTTTGCCCTTCACAGTGATTTCTCACTCATTTTAAGATCATATGACAGGCATGAGCCAAACTGTTCATGTAATCATGAAACATGAATGATCTCCATGGGGTTCTACCAGTGTACCTGCCACCAAGGACTAGCCTGCTTTTTATGAGAGAGGAAAATTGATGAAGTGTAACCTGGAACGTCATAATGGTTTTGTGTGCATATGATGAATCCATCAAGTCCTATCTGGCCCCTAGGTTTTGTCTGCCTTTGCAGAGAGTGAGAGAGAGGCCTTTAATCCTTAGCGAATTTTACATTGAGAAAGAATATAGGGTATTGCTGAGTTCTAGTATGTACTTTCCTGTACAGCTTAACAGGAGTTATATGGAACATTATGATTTACTTTCTTCTCTCATTATTTTTGGTTGTTGGCTACAGCAGTCGTCTTCCTTTTGGGCTTACGTACTTGTTTATGTCCTATGAATAGACAGCAGAATTCTTTATGCCCTTGCAAAGATACATTATGTTGTGTTACCAAACATAATGGGTGGAATAAAGAAATACCACATGACTGTGTCTTTGTGGTCTGGAGAAGATTAACACTTTTTAATGAAAAACATAAAATCAGGGTTCTGCGTTGGTACATGCTGTTCAGTGGTTTTAAAAAAACACTTTTTATTTTTTTCTTAGAACTGCATCAGGTAGCAATCTTAAAGCAAATCGAACCCATATTGAGTACGTTTGAACTTTTAACACCAAAAGCTGAAAAGAGACATAAAAGCTTAAAAGAGCATGCAAAAAAGCAAATTGTAAAAGACAGATAAAAATAGTTGAAAACACAGTCAGACTCAAAACTGCTGCAGTTCACAGCTTGTTCTGTTAAAATAAGCTGCCATGGGTTTAAATTTAAACTAATGCAGCATGCTGCAAACGGGGGTGGAAAGTGAGCAGCCCAGCCTGCTACTCCTCTGTGGAGTTGTCATCTTCAGAAGGGAGGTAGATCTATGACTTTTTGCCTTCTGCGGCTAAAACTAATCTCTCTAGTCTTGCCTTGTTGAACTCAATAGAAGCTTTATTCAACAGGAGTGATATCAAAATAAAGCCTTTAAACTATTTAATGATACTAAAATGAGGAGAGAGTGCAATCTAATGTTCAGCTGGGGGTAGACTCTAGTGTATGTGATGTTTTTGGAAGCTTCAGTATTTCTATTTCTCTTACGCTAACTTCCTAGCAAGCCCTGCGTCTTTCCAGGCCTCTTTGAAGTAAACACAGCAAAGTCAGATGTCCTTGGCTGCAGCAGAAAGAGGAACCGAAAGGGGGAACTAGGAGCATGAACATGGAACAGAATGACACTGTTTGTTTTGTATTTCTGACAGTCAGCCATTTCTGTCAGTCATAAAAGCCAAGTGATTAACTGCAACACTTCAGCTTGTACCTGGGGCAGCTGGGATTCCCAGATGGGTTCCCATTCATGTACCTATAAAGTGTGCGCCTGTGTAACTACCAGCATCATTTCAATAAAATAACACTTCTTATCTGTGATAGAGCTGTTAGCCTAAAATAGTGGTAACTCCAAGAGAAGCACCCATCCAGCTAGTTATAGTTTGACAACGTGCCTTGTGTATTAGATGCAGATTCCTGCAATGCACTGCTTGCCAGCTTGTAGAATTAAGATGTTAGCAGTTTTTACCTTGTGCATCATTTATTTGTGCATCATGAATCTGTGCTTGTGCATCATTAGCTGCTTGACTGATAAGCTTCTTGTTAGCTATTAGACTTAGCCTAGCTTTGTGGATGCTGTTTCTCAGAGGTTATTTTTTAAAGATGTCAAGTACTTCTCTCATGTGACGTTCTTTCCATTTTAAGATGGATTTCTGTCCCTTACACATGTGTTTTGCAAGGCATCAAACTAAATCTCTAAACTGTACATTATAGAATTGCAGTAAGAACCTGATTATCAATGGTTGAGGAGGCAATTACATTATAAACATCTATTTCAAGATATTTATTTTTGGTGGTAAAATTATGGTTTGTCTGGATTCCTCATGATAACTTTACATTCAAAGAGGACCTTTTTTTTTTTTTGCAAACTCTGGTTTAAATAACTGCTGGTTTAGACATGTATCTGTTAGGATAGTTATTACTTTTTTTCTCTGTGTAGAATGTAACTGTGATGCTGTTGGCTCAGTGGAGAATACATGTGGTCCTAGAGGTCAGTGTCTGTGCCATAGTAACTACGCTGGACTTAGATGTGACCAGTGCGCTCCAGGTTATTACAGCTATCCCACCTGCTTGCGTGAGTAGAAGCCTTTCTTCCTTGTTCTGGAGCTACCTGTGTAACTATGATAGTTTTGTTCCATCCAAAGCTGGCAACAAAACCGCTGAAGATCCAGCCAGCGGCCAGGCTTCCTGGGAGGCACGCGCTGTGGTAGTCTTCCCTGGCACATCATCGCTGTTCCTGTGCTAGTTGGATTAGTGTGAGCCTGGCAGTGTTTAGGCTTGGCACAGTTGTATCTCTCTTTTAAAACATGAAATCTAAAGCTTAGGCTGGGCAATGGGCATGTACCTTTATGAGTTCTGGCTCACTCAACTTGTAGAACATAAGCTGTGTTTCAACTGGTTTGGGCTTCTAATGTCTGATACACTGTTTTGTAAATTTTCAAGTTTATTAGTGTGTGCTCTTGACATGTGCCAATATTGCACCATGAATCCTAGCCTAGAAGAACTTGACTCTGCAAATCATCCATCATATCAACAATTTTTCCTGCCCACGTGGCTCAGTTGATCAGACCCAGAATGTTTGTATAGGTTTTTCACATCAAGCAGAGGGAAACCTGCAGGCTCTGTCATTAAAATCAGCAAGCTACTTGATCATCATGAACAGGACTGCTCTTTCATAGAAATCAAAAGATTATTAGTGCTAAAGAAGCAATGTATCCTCGGAATTCTGCTATTACTAATTACCACAACCAGAGCAAAAAATAATCTGACAGGTTTGTTCTCTCTCTTTAGGAGACTGGCTGCTACTTTACTAAAATAATTGTCATTAACCATTTCACCCTTAGACTGTATTTGAGCAAAGATTAGTCCCCTGGGCTGTAGCAGCATTGTTCTTTTTTGTGGCATTATTCTTATTTAGCCTATGTGTATAAATCATTGCAAAACTGAGACCTTACGTAGGAGTTTGAAACAGTAACACTGTTGCATGGCATATTTCAAAGCTTGCTTCTGGCCTCCTCTGCCCTCAGATCTAAAGGTGTGATGGGCATACAATTTCATATTCTATATTTCGCCATCATATTTTTAAGTGCAGGTCTAATTACAGAATTTGCCCTGTGCTTTCTGTAGCCATAAGAAGATCAAGAAAGCAGAAAGGCAAAACCAAGTCTGCTCTTAGGATGGGACAAAGAATTTGAAGAAGAGAGGTTTATTATGTTTTCAGATAATCCTACCTGTTTCTGTCAAGAATAGAGGAAGAAAACAGTGCCAGCATGGTACAGGTCACCTCAGACTCATAGGTTCCAAGCAGGGGTGAGGACCCTGAGAGTTATGGGAGGACCTTGTGAGCTCTTTGTTGCAGAGGAAAATGAAGAACGCTCTAGACAAATAGTACTCAAACCTCGGCAGTACTAAAGTTTTGGGAAGTTACTGCTCAATACCTCCAGGGTGAACCCTCCCACCACTGTCCATGTTTGTTGTTGTGTAGCTTGTCGGTGCTCTCCTGACGGTTCCCAGCACGGCACGTGTGAGCCAACATCGGGGCAGTGCGAGTGTCAAACGGGCGTCACGGGGCGGCGGTGCGACAGGTGCCTTTCTGCAGCCGACAGCTTCCCCTACTGCAAAGGTAACGCTTCTGAGGGAAAATCCTCCTTTCTGATCGCCCCTGGGTTTTTTGCAGCGTTCTCCAGGGCAGTATACTGCATGCAAAATTTTATGGAAAACCGCTGAAGCGTGGGGAGGGAGGGACACACCAGGAGTACATATTAGATGAGCTTATTCATCGTTTTCTATGTTATTTCATGAAGTGAACTATAAGTTTAAAACCCTTTTTGGATGATGGCACAGGAACTTCAGGAAAATGTCTCTTAGTTCTGTAGGTTAGTGCTACATTTTTCCAAGTGACTACTTTGCATACCAAACCAAATAGTCTAAACTAGGCTAAATACGCATTTGAAAAATCACTATTAAAGGCTTCTGCTGGTCTTGAATTTTAAAGTATTTGAGTCCCTCTGAGGTAATCATGTTAAAAAGCCCTTTCAAACTCACACCTGCTACATTGTACTTCTGCACTACTACATTCCACAGCTCTGTTTTCAAAAGATCTTTCAATGTGTTTGTTTTTTAATTTCATAAAGGTGTCAACAGCGAATGTGACCCTTCAGGTAGCATTGGTTCTCATTCTGTAAGTATTCTACCATTACAGCTAACGATATGTGTTAATAATCCATGTGCCTTTGCTGAACACATTCACTTCATTGCTCAAGCCCTGAAGCCTGCTTGCTCTTAGACTGTGAAAGAATTGCACAAGGTTATCTGCAGAGTAAGAGTGGAAATAAACTTTTTGTTTTGTTCTTTGCTCGTATCAATGCAATTACCTGTTAAGGATATTTTAAAAAATCTTGTATATATGGAATATGCGTATTGTTTGTGTCTTCTTGGTATGCTAGAACATTGATGTATACATGCATATGTGCATATATACCTATACATGTCTCAAAGACCTTCTGGTTCTGGGTTGCAATGGGCCATTTAAGCATCAAATTATTCTTGAAAAAATTATTATCTCTTTGTAACTGTTGCTATTCCGCTATTATTGTTATTAATACACTGATGGTTATTATTAGTAGCGTATTACCAGAAATCACAGTCATTGCTAAATATGTAGCAAAGAAGACCTAGAGGATAAGTCTGACAGATGGAAGAGGTATCTATGTAGGCTCATGTATACAGCTATATGTGTCTTCCATCAATAAAGGAAGTAGTAAATATGAAAATTGATGAGTATTTTTAAGGAAATTTGTTATATAAGCTTTTTGCAAAACAGTTAATACTTTAGAGCAGTTCTAATAAGGCTATAAAAGAATTGGAAAGTACGTCTGTTGGGACATTTAGAATAAATTAGATACGGAAAAAATACGCAGGGTGGAACAATCCTGTGCTGATAGTACGAGACAGAAAAATCTACAAAGTCTGAATCAGCCATAGTTTCCATGCATCTGTAGAAGTCAGTAAACTGCCTGAGCTGTTAATAATACTAGGTTTTTCTTAGTACTAAAGAGCAGTATGTTTTTTATAAAACAGATGAACCCATATTAACTCCTTTCTGTCTTTAGGGCTATTGTCAATGTCTTCAGCACACTGAAGGTCCTACGTGTAGTAAATGCAAACCGTTGTACTGGAACCTGGCCAAAGAAAACCCTGAGGGTTGTACAGGTATGGCTTCGTGACATATTTCTTTGGCTTATGGAATGTGTTCATTTGAAAGTCATCTTGATTCGCTGTCACCAGCTTTGGTGCTCAGTGACTTTCACAACTCTTGTTAACAGCATGTTTTTCATGCTACTTAATTTTAACACCAAATTACCCATGATACCAGCAGTTCTTTTAGAAATTAGACCATAATTTCATGAGTGTTTGCTAGTGCTGGACCAAGGTGTGGTCTGAGTTACAATGATGTATACTTCACATGGCCTTATGGCAGTTTTACTGGAGTGAGATGGGATTTCTCCCCTTAACACTGAAACCAGAATATGGCTCATTGTTTTGAGAAAAAGGTGCTTTTTCATTTATTATCATCTCCTAGCTTGCAGAGGAGTGAAGAGCCTTCTTGTTGCCTCAGGGCGTGACAAATCTGTTACGGTTTATGTCTATATAATACCGATCTGTTTGCAATTTTCAATGTTTGCTAACATTAAGTGTGTGTTTTTCAGGCAGATAATAATAGTTTTAAAGATTAAAAAAGGATAAAGATAAAAAAATCTTCAAAGATTTCTTTCTCCCCAACTATTTCCTTTCCAACAGGTTCTACCACAACAACCACCTAGATAGGATGAGTAGCCTGAGAGCCAATACCGATATCATTACATCTTTGACTCTAGATCTCTAAATACTATGCAGTCTAAACGTCTCCTCAAAGATTAATTGCTGCACCTTTCATGTAATTCATCTTCTCTGCCTTCAGTCACAGAGTCAATACTGGGTTTCACCAAACCTCTAGATCAGCATAGCTCCTTCCCGCAATATTTCCTTCATTTATTTTTCATACGGCGAGTTGAACTGGTCCCAAAGTAGCACTGCAGAACAGAAGGTGCCAGTCAGGCTGGAAGACACTGTTTTGCATCAATTGTCTGAATGTTTCTAAGAAAGAAAACAGTTGTAAATCCAAACTCAAGACTCTTTTTGTTAAACACAACTTAGAACACTTCAAAATGCACCAGTAAATCACACGTACACTCATTCTTTCTCATTTGCTTTTTCTTCTCACCTTGTGCCAGTGTCCGTTTGCTATTCTGAACCTTCCAGAGTAAAATCCACCTTGTGGCACTATGACTCAAAATTGCAGATTCAGGGTGTGGTTTTTTTTCTCTGCAAAGTATCTTGGAAAGGCAAAATGCAGATTGTCTTTTTTTCATCTGTGCAGCATGCCAGTGTGACGTGAGTGGAACACTAAGTGGAGTCGGAGAATGTCATCAGGTAAAGTGAAATTAGAGATATTAATTAAATTGATTTTTGTAAAGATAAATTGTTGTAACATCTGGTAAGGTAGAAATCTCACTACTGATTATTGGTTTTGCACATAAAGTGGCTGGTTTTATACAGCAAAGAAGCAGTTTTATACAGAAGTCCTAGTCCTTTTATACATACGTCCTAGGGATGTATAAATTCTGAAAATTTTTCATCATCTTGAGTTTATGTGTTTTCCAGTCTGTTTCATTGAAGATTATAAATGATAGAATTTATGTCCCATAATGTTTTTTGTTGAGATTAGAATGTTTTTCCTCTCTAGAGGAAAATTTAGGGGGAATTCAAAGTATTGAAAGATTAAAGTTCTGAAAAAGGTGCTGAAATATTTTTGATGAAATTGTTTTCTTCACAGGAAAATGGGCATTGTTACTGCAAATCTAATGTTTGTGGAGATTCCTGTGACACTTGTGAAGCTGGTTATTATGCTCTTGAAAACAAGAATTATTTTGGCTGCCGAGGTAAAATGAATAAAGGACATTTCTAGTAGCACATTTGCGCTTAGCACAAAAGTCTTTAGAATTCCCTAGGTTGTATTTTGAAAATGTGGATGTGTTTGTTGAATCACATGTGTTTGTTGTGCACAGCATTTTGCACTACTGCTTGTAATTGCTTGTAACCCATGCAACTCCTCCTTTGCCTTCCAAAGGGAGAAAGAACAAGGTAGATGTGGTTCCCAGCCATTTTGTGGCTCGCTCACATGAGGAAAGGTGTTCCTCTTTGAGTTCATTGTCCTTCATCTTGCCTTCCCCCATGCCTCATTTACCACCACTTGCCTGAGGCTTCTCTGTCAAAGCCCACAGTGAGATGGCATGAGGCACTGCTAAACCTGTTATCTTATCAAATAAGATAACTGAGAGTCATTCCTCCTCTCACTCCTTCTCCCGAGTTGTGGGGCCAGGGATGGTTGATTTTCCTGCAAGCATTACCTGTAAGAGTGGTAGCTGTCTGTTCCGCTTAGCAGTTTTCTAAGGTTTGCTGCTGCAATACAAACTTAAAGCATTACAACAGATACTAGCTTGATTTTTTTTTTTTGCAGGTATATTTGTGTATTGCTTTAGCCTAGGGCTCAGTGTATTTTGAAGCAGAGCCAGATGTAGCTGTGATGTGGAGAAAGTGGTCCTTCTTCTGAAGGATACTTGCTCTGCCGTGTGTTTTGAGTGATGTAGGGATACTTCAACAGTTCCCTTCCCTCCTTGTCCCCACACTGTAGATTTAGGTTTGTTAAAACTATTGAAAGCACTTTCAGTGACTTCAGTGTGCTTTACACCTGTCCAGGGTTGATGCAAGAGATTTATTTTTAAAGCATTGAAGTACTTCTAACAATCATTTAATATGTGCGAAGTTAAAAATAATGGCTATTGTATTGAACAAGGCTTTCATGCCTAATGTGCAAACCAAGGAGCTAACAAAAGGGATCTGGTTTCACAAAGGTGTCAAATACTTTAATTTTCCGTGATTTCAGTGAGATTACAGGTGCTTAACATGTCTTAGAAAACAGGACGCTTTTACACTACGATGTAAATACGTGTTTAGGAACTTTCAACCTTTCAATTCAGTTTGAATTTTTTAGCCTAGACGTACTTGTTCCTTAGTACGAAATATTATACTCGTTACTAGAGGTGTCCTTTAGTTTGTGCCACAAGTCCTGTCTCCTGTAGAAAGTCATTCAATATTGTTGTCCACTATTGGTTAAAAATATGCATATGCTATTATATGAACACATACGTTCTTGTTGTGTGCAAATTTTGTAAGATAAATTAAATATTGGGGTACCAGGCTCTGAAAAATTAACATCTTCTTACAATTTTTATAAGTTAGGTTTTGGGTTTTTGGTTTTTTTTTGTTTTTTTTAATAATTATTCATCATGATATTGCTGTAGAAATTCTGACTTATTAGCAAAACATTTGAATGGCGGTTCTGCAAAACTGTAGTCCTGCATTTAGTAATGTGGCATGGCGCATTACTTGTGATTTTTTAAAAAAGTGGCTTTTGTCACATTCCAAGGAGAAAGAAGCAAACATGGGCAGCCAGAAATAGTTTCAGCTTATGCATGTGTGTTAATATGTGTTTGAAAGAGTCTGAGGGGAGGGGAGTCTGAAGGGCTCCGGAAGGAGGAAACGAGTCATTAACGGTGTTTAATTAGCGGAAGCGAGGTATGTTTTCTGATAACGTTCACCACTTTTTTCCTGATGGGATATTTGGCTTCTGCTCTTTGCCTGCCAGGCTGCCGGTGTGATGTTGGAGGATCCCTCAGCCCGGCGTGTGCCGAGCCCTCGGGCGGCTGCCAGTGCCGGGCGCACGTCGTGGGGACGGCCTGTCGGGAGTGAGTCTGGCTGTAGCTCCTGGTAGCTCCTGCTTCAGCATAGTTCTCTTGAAACTGCCCCTTGCTATCCTTTCACGTGATATTCTGGATTTGTTGATAAATAAGCTGGTAAATTGTATTAGTTATTGATACTAATTTTGCTGGGCAGTTTTCTTCTGGTATTTTAATACGATTTTGTAACTTGTTTCCTTAAATAACCAATACCTGTTTTGCAATATATATATCTATATATCTGTCAAGAGTTATAAAGGAAAACATATGTAAGCTGTAAAAGCTTCTGGAAAGAGATTTCTCATTACATCCATCTTATCAGCTGTCTTGAATTTATTAGCCGCTACCAGGATTCCTCGGTCATCAGTAGGTCACCTCCCTTCCACTGCTTTATGCTCTTAGGTGTAGACCATGCAGCGACTGGTAATTCTTTGTTGTTTTTTTTCACCTTGAAAGGCCTGAAAAAAACTACTTTTTCCCTGATCTGCACCAGATGAAGTTTGAGATTGAAGATGGTACTACTGTCAAGGGAAAGGAAATTCGGTTTGGCTATGATCCTCAGGAATTTCCTAGCTTCAGTTGGAGAGGATATGCCCGGATGTCCTCTATACAAGTAAGCTGGTATTTCACTCAAGGCTTTGGGGTGAAAACATAGGTGTATGGTATGTATGTCTCTATAGTACCGCTATGTGTGTGCAAGGTCATGGAGAAACCAGAAAAAAGGACAGGATCTCACTAATCCGAACCCTTTGGCACTGTATCGCCGTTTGGATTAGTAAGTGTTGGTATTGTTGTCAGTTGGTCATTGCTTGTGCCAATATGTGTTCTTCAGAAACGTTCTTTGAGGGTTTTTTTGTGAGAAATACACATTTTGCGATAGGTGTAAAGAAAAGAACTAATAGCTTTAAAGTCTATAATACTAAGTGCAGAAATTCTTGTCATGCTAAGGACAGCGGAAACAATAGAAGATTGATGCTTGGCTAAATAATTTGGATTATATAATTCCATGGCAGTCAGTGTCCATAAGATTTTCAGGTACCATCACAGTGCTGTCACTGAAGTCTTCTTCCACTTGCAATTTATGTTGGGCAAAGAAGAGGAAGGTGCAAATTTTATTAGGAATAATACCTTCACATTGGAGCAAACAGGAGAATGCATGAATCAGTAAAAGAATCATAGAATCATAGAATC